CTGTTTTAGGGTATCAATGACTACATGTTGAGGTTTTAGATGGTTTTAGGGTATCAATGACTCGTACCTCCATCAGTCCTGATTAGTTAGTCTACATGTTCCGTGTATCAATGACTTTTTGTTTTAGGGTAGCAGCTACTGAGGGCTGAGAGAGGACTGAGCGGGAAATCTGTAGTCCGTCCCGTCCATGACCTGACATGACCTGGAGTATACAACCACACACACCAAAAAGAAAGCACATCAATTGAAAGAGCACTTGCTCTTAGAATTCAGGTAGACAACGGTAGATATGTCTTTTGGGTCATTTTGTACTAGCCTATAGGTTCAAGGTTCTTGGACACAATGATACAGTATACAGGCATACATGGGAGCTCAAAAGGATCTCAAAAGCTGGTTTCTCTTTTCCACAAGCCCTAAGCGCTAAGCCATACACCTTAGTTTCTTGAAATTCCCGGACGTCAGTCACTTTCGTCGTCCTTTTCCCTCATTGCCTGCCTCAACCCCCCCCCATCCTCGCCACACGCCGCGCTCCTCGCTCGCCACACGCCGCGCGCTCCGCCACACGGCGCGTCGTGGCCTTCCGACATCGCCATAGCTGAAGGACCACCACGACCAGTGCGAGAGGGTCTCTTCTGAGCAGATGAGCGGAGGGAAGGAGACACAATAGACGGGCGTTGTCTTTGAAGATGGCGCCCCACAGGGCACTTTCAAGGGAAGTGACTGATGGTGACGGAGTTCGGATATTTTGGGGGGGCAGCTGCGTCGCACTGCTTTCTGGGACGTCCTCGATGGGCTTGTGGGCACATGAAACCACATGCACTAAACATTCTGTGAGCGTCCGTTCAAAGGCGTTGAATCCATTGTGGTTGATGGTTTTACATGGGTCAAGCAGGTGAAACAACCACATGAGCACCGTCATGTCCGGCAGAATGCATGCTTGTGCAATGAAGGCGCCCAGGTCGCACAGAATGGGTGTGCTTGGGGTCCAGGTGGTCTTCGGGATCGGAAGGGGTGGGCGTCAATCACCCAGGTTCACAGGTTGTTGCGGCTTGTGGGGGCGCACCCAGTCTGGTCTTCCCAGTCTCTTCACGAGTTACGCATCACTGCGTTGCACGCATCACGAGTTACGCACGCAATCCAGTCCGGTTGATCGGTGAATGGAAGGTCGGGACAGGGAAATCGCAAGTTCACAGGTCTGCAAACTGAGAGTGCCAGCTCAACAGCTTGGCTCTCCAGTGCTCCCTGCAGCAGCTTTGCCCTCCCTCCAGGTTTCATGTGAATGAAGCTCTTAGTTACGAGCAGCACCTCACCTGGATGGAGGTCACGGCACCTTGAATTCGTTTCACTTCCGCAGGCAGTTTACATCACTGGTCGTTCTTCATGTCATCATCTGCTCTCCTCACTTAGTAGACTTAGAACCACACCTGCCTTTCCCTCAAGGTGGTGAGACTCCAGAATCAATTCAAGTTGAGGCACCATCCACTTGGCACATGTGCAACAACTCCTTCCCCAGGCATTTGATCCTTGGCGGCGAAAAAGGTCTGCGCCAAAGCGTCAGCTTTTCTCCCGCACGGGGAAAATTGATCTATGTATAAAGGAATCTCTCATGGCCCCGGAACTGGTTGACAAGTTCCTCAGAACAACTTATTATATATAAACTATGAGTTTTACAAGCCAAAGTATCGACAAACCACACACGCACAAACACCCACCCACCCCCCAAAGAAGAACAGAAAGAAACCACCTTTACACCTGACCACTGGGCTGCCCAGCTCGTACCACCGTCCCCCCACACCGAGACCACCTCGCCGAGCCGCTCGGGGCCGCCCCAGGCGCACTTCCGCAGCTCGGGGTCCTCCGGGTCGGCGCCCAGGCTCAAACACCGCGCCTCGGTCTCCTGGCGACGGCGGCGGAGGCGCGGCCGGCGCGAGCACTGTGCGGTCAGAGACCGCGGTGTGACCGGAGGTGGGGGACGGGTTGGATGGGTTGGATGGGTTGGGGGGGGGTGGGTGGATTGTGTGATCTGGGGAGGAGCTGTTGGTGAAAGAGAGTATAGAAGAGACCAGTAGTAAAAGGGATAATGTGTTAAAAGTTATCCCAGTTTGCTCGGGTTGTCAGTATGATGATGTATGATGACTGCTTGGCAGCATGACTGTCCTGGGGTCGGAAAGAAGGAGCTTGGCAGTCCTATTAGATCTATTAGATTGATACTCGGCCTAAACCACGAGCACAAAAATCGGGGCAGACCTTCCACGCGCGCGCCCATCCCCAGAAAGGTTCCTGGTTGACACATGCCTTGGACGAGTCCGGCGTGAAGCTATCCTGCGCCCCACAGGTCTCCTCGGTTGCAGCTCTCACGCTCGTGCACGTCTCGGAACCAGTGAAGGAGGAACAAGGAGGAGGAGAAGAAGAAGAAGAAGGGTGCATCATTCAAGAAAGCAGGCAAAACCGAACATGTTTTGACTTTTTCCTGGAGCTCCATGTCACGGTGTCTTTTTGTCTCCAAGTCTCTAAGTCAGTGGATCTTGGAAGATAATGGAGCACCCCTACCTTCCAATAGGCACCCCAACTTGGAACTGTTTGACATATTCCTTGTGGTCTCCAAAACTGGCACAGCTCAAAAAACTGCCTTCGTCTTGTCTTCTGTTGGCCTTCGAACTCTTGCTGTAGCTCCCAGCTTCACACGAGGACCAACACCCATCCCTTCCAGCTTTGTTCGTCCGGGAGACGTAGGAGTAGTAGAGCGGCCTTTTCCGATAGCTGGCACTCGGGAAGTAGGTCGAGACCTTCCAAGGGCCAGGGTCACGGTGGCAAACAGGTATAGGACTACACTGACTACACTCGACTCGTTGGCACGTTGAAGAATCCCACGATATGAGCACAGAAAAATGACGGAGCGTCCAAGAAAAACAGGTAGCATCAGGTAGCAATCTTTCAACCGGACTCTTTTTAGTTGGTGACCTGAGGTTTAAGATCCACGTCAGACATGATACATCATGGGAAGCTGGGCTCCAACTGGCACTCGGCAAGAGGGTAGCTGATCGCCAGGTCAAACCAGTGGCAGCCGCCCATCTGTTATCCAAGAACCAGCACCACTAGAGCCTACAATCGTTCCTCTCGAATACAAAACCAAAACTACGAAAGACTCAACGCAGTTAATAACATTAAATATCAGTTGTGTGATGTGGAATACCTTGCAATCTTTGAACACCAGCAAACCACCATCACCTCATCCCGTCGCTGTCCGCCTCTCTTGCTCCTTTCGTCGACCCGTCGGGAGCAGCGCTCGGACAGCGCCTTGGGCGGCTCCGCGATCGCGCAGGCGCAGGGGTCCACGTAGCACCAGCTCTTCTGGCACCTCAGTTGATCAGACGGCTGAGCGAAACAGGTCGGTACTCAGGTCACTTCCAATCTCAGCTTGGAGGGATTCGAAGGCCCAAAGCTGAGGGATTGAAGGCCCCAATGGTTGGCAGGTCGGGGTTGAAAACAAGGAACTCTGCAGTTTTCCAGTGTCGAGCTACGACTTCATAAATCCCTGTAACATGTGTCAATCCTTTTCAAGAAATCACACCAATCACTTCAGAGAGTGGTTCCAGCGAGGAAGGCGCTTCGAAAGTCTAGAAACCAGGGGAATATTCCGCCGCTCCATTGTAATTAGAAATTCAATCTTGCAATTCCTCCCGAAATTCAGATGCCTGGGGCATGGCACCACTAGCCAACTCTTTCGCGTTGCAATGCGTTGCACCAGTTTTTTTTCACCTGCCCCAGTGGGCATCTGCCAGAAAAAAGGCCCAAGCTCTCCTCCCTCGATCCGTCCAAGCTTCCAGGACGGCGCATCCTCCCGTGCACAGAGGCTGAGCGGCTCAGCATCCCAGGCCGCACAGCGGCTACCCACGTCCGCCGGGTACGTCGCCGTCCTGGGCGCGGGGCATCCGTGATGGGCATGTGATGGCGGAAATTCACCAGAGGCCACAGCAAAGAACACACCATCTGAATCACCTATATACTCCATCGGTAAGTCTGCATGAAGATCTCCTCAGAAAATCTTTGCCCTCAGTGCCTCAGTTTGACCATTCTTGTCAACCTCAACCTACCCACCCCCACTTACCTCACTGGCCCATCACTCCCATCTCTCCCTGCTCGTTTCGCACCCCGAACATCTCCAGACAGCGATAGCCCAAGCGACTCTCCCGCCACTTCGACGGCCACTTGGCCCTTCAGGTGTTCCACGCCGATACACTTGCACTTGCGGTCACCGTAGCTCTCCTTCGCAGCAGTCTCGCAACGTGTGGTGCGGATGGAGGATGGAGGACCGGGGTGTGGGAAATGTGGAAGAAGGCGTGGTGGGCATCTCTTCTGGAAAGAAGAGGTAAATGGAAAGAAATTAACATCTTCGAAGACCTGAAAAAAAATCATTGAACGGAAGAGAACACGCCTAAAAGGTGGTTGAATTGCGTTTGGCTTTTGGGCGCGCCTCTTCCAAGACGAAGCACTTCGCTTCGCTTCGCTTCGGTCCCACGCCGCCGGCCTCGTCGTAGGCGTTGCAAAAGCGACCGTCCGATGGAGAAGTTCCCTTGGCGCCTCATCGATGGATGGGCGAGAAGGTCGGTGAGAACACGAGGTTCAGGCCAAGAAGACCATTGAAACATATGTAAACCATTGTAAACCTTAAAATGATGCTCTTCTTGACACGCTCACCCCAAGAAAACCAGGTTCTCTACGCTAAAGACCGTCTCACCACATGCGCCCAACACCGCACCGAGCGGCCACGCGTGGGCGGCGGGCTGTGGCAGGTCTCCTCGCTGAGGTGCAGCTTGCGGCCCTCCCATGTCAGCTGCCTTAGGCGGACGCAGCCCGCGGACATGGATAGAAACGCACGGTTTCCAGGACATTTTCCACACGGCGATCGACTTTTCTATACGTTTCTATCTCTTTGGGGGTCTATAAATAGACGGAACTGGTCGGGGTCGGGGGGTGCAACTGTAGTCCACTGAGACCAATCATACCAGCTTTGAGGTGCTCCAGACGCGACGCCGATACAGAAGCAGTTTGTTGTTGAGTCTGATTTTTGTCAACCCATCGTTTCGTCCTATCAGCGGTGCGGTCAGAGTTTCAAAACCTCGATTCCAGCTTGGATTGCTTTCCACCCATGCCATTTGTTGCATTCTTCCTTTGTTTGGACCCACTTGACCGATAAAAAATTCGGACCTCTTGAAAATGTCGTGAAGCACCTCCCCCTCCTCCTCCTCAATGTCCCAAGCCCATCCACCGTCTTCGTCACCTTGCGTGATTTCTGGGTCAACGTCAGCCTCGTTTCGGACACCTTGCGGTGAGAGGTCTGTGTAGCCATTCATGCCCAGGACATACACTTCCGTGAGCGCTCTTTCCAGCATCCCTGGGCAAGTGATCGGGCGGCCCGCTATCACCAGCAACGCGCCCGAGACCTGCAGCCACAACTGCTTTGCGTTGCTGGCAAAGTCTCGGGGCTGGCGCATTGTTCCAAGGGCCATCCTCGCTTGTTCCGGCGGTACGTGGGTCTGTCGAGAGATCGCGTCGGCTGTCGAAGCCTTGGGCTCAGGGAGTTCCACAAGGATGCGCGGATGAGGCAATTCTCCCCTCGATGGTAATAAGGTAGCTAAGCCCACTGCCATGGGTCAAGCCTGGGTCCTGGACATCACGGGCCAAACAACGGGAGACTTTTCCGTGGACATCAGACGAGAGTTCGCGTTCATGTACTCCCACAGATACATGACGGAGGTTCACAGACCAGAGCACGCTCCTATATTGAACAGCAGTGTTATACATAACACTGGGTTTCAGTCGTGGTTGGAAAACACACGGACTAGCTGGATAAGTCATCTTTGATGAACTTACCTGATCGCCCACTGTCTATAAAATCATGAAAGGCTGGAGATCCTCAGGCCTGGCAACAAATTGGACTTCAGGAGGAAATGGAACTTCGCTTAAAATCAACCCCTGGGCTTGGGCCCAACTATCCTCAAGGCCCAGGCGGGATAGACCGTCCGAGGGATTATCCGCAGAGTCAACCCATTCGATCCAAGGACGCACGTTGTGCCTTTGGAAAACCAAATGGAATAACTGCACAATGGTACGCACGTCACTTTGACTACTGGAACCCCAAATCAAGGAGGACACAGCAATTCGGCTGCCAGCAGGCGATTCTGAGCGTGAACTTTTCTTGCGGAAGAATACACTTGTCTTCCACTGTGCGCCTATTCACTTGGACATTGAAGTATATTCAAGCTGCGTGGCTGAAAAGTTGGATGGTGTAAAGCTGAATTGAAGCTGCTGCCATTTTGCCTCATGAACCTCAGGATTCGAATATTGAAGCCTGTTACATAACATAGTGGACATGGTGTAATGCTTTTTGCTTTACAGTCTAATGATGTCCAGGGTGATTTCAAGAGCTGGGCAATGACAAAGGGGAGCACAGCGCAGCAGAGAGCATAGCACAGCAGAGAGCACGGCGCAGCAGAGAGCAGAGAGCACAGCGTAGTAGAGAGCACAGCGCAGCAGAGAGCGCCTGTTGGTGCCATGGAGTCACCACCACATTCTGGACGGCGGCGTTATGGGAAAGGGCCTCGTGCGCAAGCATGCAAGCACAACCAAATGTCTTGCGCACATGACGCCTCCAGTCTTGCGAACGTCTTGGGCTAGTTCCAAGATCATGGAAAAAGCCCCGAGAGGGGGGTCAGTCACGATCACCCAGCCCAACCTCAGTTCCCCATTCTCAAACGATGCGTCAGAGTAGATGACCAGGGGGGAAGCGATGGCAGCGCGCACATCGACATCCCTGGGCCTGGCATCGGTGAGCATTGAGGAGGCGAAGAGTGGTGACCTCAGGGTCTCATTAATCATTTGGTGTCTCATGAGAAAGACAAAAACGACCAGAAACCAATCCTTTGAAAGGATAGCAAGGATAGCAACAGAAGGTCTTCCTTACCTTCTCCTGGCCTTTCTTGTGTGTAGCTGCCTTGTGTTGACCCCTTTGAAAAGCTACCCTTCTCCTTCCTCGCGCCCGCCCTTCCTCTCCAAAGTGGCTCGGTGGCGGCCGACTCGCGGCTCGAGACGTTGCCTCGGTCGCGGAGATCCCACGTGGTGGAGCACGGCGGAGCATCATGGGGGATGGACGGAACCTGCTGGACCCGGGACCAGGTTTTCACGCGGTGTGCGACGTGTTGGTCTGGGAGGCGACGCCTCAGAAGAGGTGTCAGCTGATGTCGGGAGAGGGTGGGGTTTTCTTGAAACGGTTTTGAGGTGAGTGGAAGGAAGGTCAGGTGGGCCTGTGCCTTCTTAGGGTGCCCCTGCAGGTGAAGGTCCTCCAACCATCCGGTCAAATGTGCTGGAACGATGCTCCCCCAATTGCCAGGGCTGCAAGGGATTCTGCATACGAGTGGGCCACGAGTTGACTACTTGTAGGACTCATGGTGACGTCGATGGAGAAAAACCTCCCACCAAAAGGCATGGAGAAACCCCGCTGTCGCCAGTCTGCCGCCACCTGGTCGAGGCTCCACCTTTACCACCCCGCGGCTGCTGCCACGGCACATTGGCATGGGTCTACGAAGCACCAGCGCTCGCAGGGCTCCTGCACGAGCCCGCGGCAGGAACCCGCGTTTATTTTGAGAGACCAGACTGTTCACCTCTCAAAAAGGGGTGACTGACCAGCAAAAAGTTTCCTGGAAAGAATGGCAGAAATGGTCTTTATGTGGTATCAAGTGGCATCTGTTGGAAGAACTCCTGCCTTGTAGCAGTCATTCCTTGGGAAAAAAAAAAGAACTTGGGCGGCCGCCTGGTCATCGAACGGCCAATCGGTCGGATCAAACTCCGCTCCAAACCAATGTCGATCCAAACCTCGAGAACCCAAACACCACCCCATGGAACCCCTGACATATGATGACATATGTACCGTTTTCAGGCCAAGGGCGGTGGTGAAACTGGGGGTCCATTTTTTGTTTGGCAAAGATGCCAGTGTCTGGGACACATGTCTGGGATCCCCAGGCTTGGGCAAGCAACACATCATCACCGGTCTCTCGGGGGTCGGGTGAAGGAACACAGTCCCTGAAAGGTCCGCAGTTCAGTGGCTCTGGTGGCACTTCCCGTGGAGGACGCGCGGAAAGCGCGCGCCAAGTTGAGGAGCTGAGCATGGTGAGAACGAACGGTAAAGCATCCATGCAAAAAGTCATCCAAAAATCCTTTACGACTGTGGCTTGGTCACCCAAAACGTCTGCAAATAGGGAGACCTCCAACCCAAACCGGGCGGCAAAGTGCACAAAGCAGAGCCAAACAACCCAGTGTGTCCCTTCGCCTGGATGTCTTTGGTCTACTCCTTTTATCTCCGTTTTGCATGCCCAAACCGCACCCCCATGATCATTCCGGAGATCACTCCTGCTTACATGGCCTGGCGCGGCGCGGAACTGAAAGAAAGGAGGAATTCAGGCAAGCTTTGCTTCGCACCAGCTTTCCTGGTGCTCTACTCTACTGTACGAGTATATCATGAGCTCTTGAAATGCCCAATCTTTGCTTCACGGCATGATCCTCAAAAATTGTTGGGTCTTGGGTATGGCCAACCCCACGTCATCACCATGAGGCATGGCCTCCAATATGGGCTGAAAACATTAAAGATCTTCAACACACATGGGAGATAAAGCGTTTCTCCCTCTAAGGCTTCATGTTGAGGTTCTCTTGCAAAAACTGCTCAGGGCGCTACCATCATCAACCACCCTACCAGTGAATGATCATTAATTTTATTGTGTGCTTCCTTTCTTCAATAAAATTAATGATGTTGGTCTCTTCCTTTTCCTTCTTTCCTGCTCTTGGGATTACACCGCCAGGCCAAGAGCTGCTCTTCCCCAGATCCAAGAAGGGGGGTTTAGACGTGACCAGGCTAACAGCCTCCTACGCCACCTGTAAACCGCCAGAAAGAAAAAGATCACGTTTATTCATTTATTCTTTTTAGCTGACAAGAACCGGAAAGGCTTGATGGTGGTTATCCAAAAGAATGAATGAATAAGATAGGGTTCACATCCTCACTCCATACCCATGCCAGGTCCCGGGACCATTCCTCTCCCAGCTCCATACCCCGAATTCGCCGCGCCCGGTCCAGTTGTCGCAATGCGCTCCGATGAAGGGCTCCTGCACGTCACCGCCGGACCAAACGAGCGGGAGAACCCGGAGGGGGAGCGCCGTCGGTCCCACGGGTGCCCGTTGAATCCCTTCTGCCATCGCATGGCGCCAGGTTTCTGGATGAGTTGATTTCGACGCACGAGACTTCCAACGGGTTGGTCATGTTGATGTTCCCCCGCGACTTGCGAACGTTGTGATGTTGGTACGCAAAGGTCTGACGAATTGGAACGCCACAAAGATTCCCCTGGCAAGATCCGCGCCAAAAAACCTCCAAGGGTAAATTGGGAGGCCATCCTATTGTAATAAACACCCATATCCTGACTTGCCAAGTGGGATCAACAAAGAGAACACACCTTTGCATTGACCCCACAGAAAAACTCTGTTCAAATCAAAATCGAATTCCAGGAAACCTGCCCACGCTTGCAAAACAACCGGCTGCGCCAATTACAGTATTTTGGGGGGGAACAAGAAGTTGGAGCCACAAATTATGTTGGATCAAACAATTATCTCTCACAAAAATTTTGGTTAATATGTTGGTTCCTCGCGCATCATCGCTGCCGAAGGTTCTCCAAAACATTGTTGCAGCGATGTTTCCCCTGGTTCCAATGCAATTTAAGGCCAAAGTTTACGGCGAGCATCAAACCCCAATCCAATGTAAAATGCATCTACGTTGCCTACTAAATATAGGCGACCATTCTATGAAATCAACCAACCCATTCTAGTGGCCATGGTCATCACCAGCGCCGCAACGTGACTCAAACGAATCCAGGATAAAAACAAGTTCTGGCCACATCCGCTCAGTCCTGGCGCTTGGTCCTGTGGCTTGGCCGTGTGGTCAAAGGGAAAATAACCACTGATTTAAGACTTGTGGGTGTCAGGGTGTCATGTGTTGGGCCACGCGCCACTTAGCTATGTCGAACACCTTATAAAAGAGGCGTCCAAGGCGTGGAATTTTCCGCCCTTGGATTTGTGCTTCGTTGGGGTGCGTCAGGCGTGGTCGCTTGTGGTCAGGAAAGGCCCATCGGTGGTTCTCGACGGTAACTAGTATATAAGTACTGTTTGGCCACAACATGCCACAAGGATGTTTCTCAGCACCTGCCTCACAAAAGACATGCACGGCCCCTGCTAGAGTCACAGCTACTTGCCCGAACACTTCCGCCCACCGGTGTGTGCGCCACGCTTTTGCAGTAAAACGCTGCGGTGCCGGCGGTCACCCTCAGACAGCCCCCATCAAGGCCCAGTCCTTTTTACGCCGTCAACGCCCACACAAAGGCAACCGGGGAGGCCGTAGTTGACGGCACGCACACCTTCCGGGAACATATTGTGCGGCGCTCCAGTGCTTGCCCAGACCCCCAGCATTTGACCTTCACCTCCCGCAAGCCACTTCAAGGTCAACGTGCGCTGGCTGAGCATGAACACGGCCCAGGTGTGGGCTCCGGGCGAGCCGCAGAAAACCGCGAAGACTAGCCGCTCCTGGAGCTTCACAGGCGCGAGACCAACGACCCGA